GCAGGAAATGTAGTAGGAAAAGCCACAAAGGACTTGAGTTCCAGGCTAGAAAGCTTAGCCTTCATTTTTCAGGAAGGAGGCACTAGGGGTCATCGGAGGTTTTAGGCAGGACAGTAACATGATCAGATTTGTGTTTTACAAGGCTCATGTCGGCATAAGATACGTCATCTGTGCTGACTATGAGAAATGGCAGCTTTCTGTTGTGGTTGGTTCGCAGGGAGAATGTCACTCACTGCACTACAGAGAGTCAACTGGAGGTGAAGCAGGTTTGGGTGTACTTGTCAGTGCAAGGCAGGGGAATGGTAGAAGGTAGCAACACGCTGAATTTGAGATTCCCGCGGAGACACATCAGGCAATTGGACTGATGGGTCTGCAGCTCAGGAGAGAAGGCTGGGGGGAAGCCATGCAAATTCTACAACCTTTTCAAATCCATATAAACATGACTCCCAAGTGAATGCAAAACTCATATCAACATATTGAGAAAATATCTGAAATAGTTCCCCCAGCTTTGAAAGAAGTACTCACATCTCACTTGCACACATAGAGCCAGCAGTAAATAGATTCTAGACTGAGGTATTGTTGAGAGCAGATTATTTGGGGACTTAGGGGTCAGAAGATGGGAAGATGAAGAAAGGAAGTGATGATGTCTCTTCAACTGACTTCTCTGTTTATACTTCCTTCTTTAATTCTTTTCTTGCTCCAACTTGGGGTAAAAAGCTGCTAACTTCTGCAGAAACAACAACCCTGGGAACAGGGCACTCTTTCCATTTCTCTTATTTTCTTTCTGGTATCTTCTCTCATCTGCAGACTAAAATTCAGAATGAGCAGCCCACTAACACAACTCATCTACATTGTATCACGGTCCTCCCTTGCTTGGGAACATGAGATGGCTCCCTATTACCTCTCAGACCAAGATTGAACGCCTCCTCTGCCACCTAAAGCCTCTTCTTCTCTGGGTCCTGCAGCTTAATTTCTCTATTTGATGAGATGCTGTCCCACCTTCACGGCCCATTCCATCTCATACTTTGCAATGATAGCACTCAGATTCCAGAAATGCTGGCCAACAGAGCTTTCTATGATGCTGGAAATATTCTTTGACGGTGTTGTCCAAGACACAGTGAGGCTACTGAGCACTTGGAATGTAGCTGGTATTTTCCCTTAATTTAATTCCTTGAAGTGTATACAGAGGAACTAAATTTTGACTTAATTCGTTGAAGTGTACACAGCCACTCATGGCACTGTATCGAAGAGTGTAGTGCTAGGGGCCTGTTCTTTCTCTCCCTACTAGAGCAAAGATGTTGTGGGGGAGGGATTCTGACCTTATGGAGACTCTCATTTCCCACTTATTCCAGAATGTTCTATAAATACTGAATAACTGCCTTTTCTACCACCCCCTCCCCCTCACCACTGCAGTCTGCCTGCAGTCGTCTTTCCAGCCCACAGCCTGGTTCAGACCGCCTTTCCTAAAGGGCTGGGAACATGTGCTCAAGGTACAATGACTGGCTCATAAGCAAAGCTTATCATGGTTATTATTTTCATTATGAGAAACAGCTCCATTAATAGTAACAAATCTCTTTGTTTACTTTCTCCGGAACAGGTCACACCCACAAAGAAGAGAGACTGTTCAAAGAAACTAACAAAGAAAGTTAGTCAAAACCAAGTCAAATTCAAGGTCCCCCCAGACTTTCTTCTCTGATATTTGAATCATCTCATGATAGGCCTGGCTGGTGAGCAGCCCTGAGGGCTAAGGTGGGAGATTGCTCTGCATATGGGACAGAAAACCTAATCACTGTCTCATCTGAGACCCCAACTAGTGTTTGGGCATAATTCCAGCAGTGTGGAGGTTTGTACTGAGCTATCCACATCTCTAACTTATAGTGGATGGCTCAATGCCCATCGTCACACCAATTATGGTGGGACGATTGCAGGCACTAAAGAAACACTGGTTGGATGCACAGTGAGTGGCATCATTTATGGAATATAAAAATATGATCAGTAAGAGCCTTGACCATATGTAGGCAGACAAGGTGGTGCCTTCCTGCCACAAGGGCATTAAAACCTCTCTTGGCCAGGTCTGGGAACATAATATCCTCACACCCACTCCTGCCTTTGCCAGGCCATTCTGCAATGCACAGATACTTCTCAAGGGATGTTGTTGTTGTTGTTGTTGCTGTTGCCACCACAGAGCATAAAAAATTTCACAGAGCTCTGCACAAAATAATACCAGCAATTGATTTATTCTATGCTGAGCTATTTTTTCCTTCAATCTGCAGTGTCTTTTGGCTTCTGCTAGGCTCCATCCCACTCACTCAATGCTGTTTGAGACATTCCATTTCTCCTGTCCTCCACTGTGGTCCTAATAGTGTCTGTGGGCCTCAAGTGGTAACCCAAGAAGCCTGAGTCCTTACAGCAACCATACAGTACCTGCCTGATTTTCTCCTCTTCTAAGTTGGCTCCATTTGGTGGCATCACCCCAGAAGTCAAGTGAAAGTTTCTCATCACACCACTGCTCAAACAGGGCCCTCCCTCTCATGTCTGATGTGGCTTCAGTTAGATGGTCACAAAAGTCACACTGGGATGGTCTACACGGAGGCTACTGAGGTGGGAAAGAATACTCTTACATCATCCAGAGTGTCTCAGTCTTTCATTTTCTCCAAAAGTTTTGTATATAAACTACCTTTTCATTTCTACCTATTATCTGCCTTCTTTCTAGACCAGATAAGAGTCTTTGCAAGTACATCCTCTGACCTAGAGAGATACAGAGCTGTATGCAGTTCTTCAAATTCCCTCTTCCTCATTGTATTCTGCCAAAACCCTTCTGTGCTTTCTTTGTATCATTTACATAGCTTTAGAGCAAGTAATCAGCTGTTCTGTGAGTGACTGCAACTTTGAGTTACAGATGGTAGACCTTGGAGATAGTGGGTAACAGAGGAGCAAGCTCTGAATAAAGTTCTTCAGTGGGCTGCCAGGATACACTGATATAAAGCAAACCCTTTGTGAGCACGGTGCTAAATAGTTATCAAAATATCAAATTACTTCTCTCTCAGAGTATATCTCATAAGCACTCTTTTGACGATGTCCGTCCAATGAGTGGTTGAATCAAGTATGCCTTACAATCTGGTGCACAATGTAGTGTGGCTCTCCAGGTCCCTGATGGGAGGTAAGGAGCGACTGTAAGCTGGAGTCCAGGAACAGGGGTATACTGCAGGAACTCAGACGTTATGAGGGTGAAGGGAGCCCCGTCACTGCAGAGTCCTCTCCTTACAGTAATATAGGACTAAAGGGTGAAACATGTAAATAGGGTGATCACTCAGGATACAGTTAGAGTCAGTGGAAGAAAGACTCTGTAATGTCATTTAAGATTCTGTCATCTGAAAGAATGCCATGAATATAAATAAAGATTGAGAACCACAGGCCTGGAAGGAGATAGAAAGATAGGAATAAAAAGCAATGGGGAAAGTTGGCCATTAAATGCGTTAAAGATAGGAAAGAAGGAAGAGAGGAAGCTTGATGAGGGAATGACATTTTGAATTAAAGAGGGAAGTGGAAGAAACTCTCAAAGATGATCCCTATCCTTGTAATAGGAAGTAAGGTCATTTATTGATAAAAATAATGAGTAACATCTACTTACCTTTGACCAGGGCTTGTGCTGAGCAGTTTGTGTATGTTAGTTTGTTTAATCTCCAATTCCATACAGTGGGGACTATTATTATCCTAGTTTAACCAGCGAGGAAACTGAGGCTCAGAGAAGTTGCCTAATTTATCCATGGTACAAAAGCCAGGAAAGGAAGAGCTAGTCCCTAACAAGGTGAGATGATGAGGGGTGAGCGTCAAGTTGATGGCTTAGTTCAACGACGCTGTGAATGTTCTGGGGATGGACAACAGTTGAATAAAGGAATTGGAAGATGGAGATTTCCTCTAGCAGCACTTGACAGGAGAGGAATGCAGACACTGGGTCTTAGCAAGTAAGGAGGAAAACACAAGGTCAGGGAGACAAGGGCTCCAACGTGGTGTTAAGGTCATTGCTGAAGTGACTGGGAAAGAAGGAAGGTGAGGCTCAGATGAGTGTTGAATGAGGACCAGGGTGACTGATGGATTACCAGGGAGGTAAGTGGTCTTGGGTGGGAATTATCATGGAAACAAGATGAGCAGGCACAGGTCTGGACCTAATCCCATGACAGGCAGAAATCTTGCATGCAAACAAAAGCCAATTATAGTATGCAGGGGGTTGAGGACTTCAAATCCTGCTTCTGAGTTCTATTGGCGTGAAAAAGCTAGTTGAAAAGTTAACAGGAAGGCTGCTGCAGTGAGCCTAGCCCAGCATAAAGTACTGGAAATATTTTCAGTGGGTAGGAAACAGAATGGCGCTCAATGGCACTCAGCAGGAAAATTCAGGGATGCCAGCCCCCTGCAGGCTGGCAGCATGGATGGAGGTAGGCATATTAGTGGGGTCTGTTGGAGAAGGACTCCATTCTACAGTGAGGTCGCAACTCACACAGCTAGCTCCTCCTCAAACCGGCCGCTGTGGAAGAATGCCCAGGCGGCTTCCGGCGGCCTCTGCAGCTGCGTGGGACTCACCCTGAGCCCTCAGAGCAAAACATTATTTTCTCCTCTCTCTTGTCAGATGCTGACTCCCACGCAGGAAAAAGGAAGCACCTTTTGTCAGATGCTGCGGCCACTTCCTCTTCAGCAGGCTTCAGCCAACCTTTCGCTTTGCAGAATGAGGGGGCCGATGGCAGGGCCGGACGGCCTGTGTTCGGGGCCACTGGCTGTCGCCTGGCTTTTGGTCTTTGTCCGGCTGTGATCAGGAGCTGGCCCCTCGGCTGGCCTTCTGGTTCATGGGGGATTTTCCTTGATTCCTATCTGGACCCCTGAACTGGGCCTGGCGGTGGCCCCACCCACTTCTCAGCCCCCTCGGGGCTTCTTCTCTGGCCTGGCTGCCCGCTTTGCTGGCTGCTCCATGTCCCTCAGTCAGTCTGCCTCTCTGCTCCTCTCTGTAGCTCGCTCAAGGAGCGTGATGACCGGCGAGCAGATGGCGGCCTGTCACCCGTCGTCCACCCCCAACCCGCTGGAGAGGCCCATCAAGATGGGCTGGCTGAAGAAGCAGAGGTCCATCGTGAAGAACTGGCAGCAGAGGTACTTCGTGCTGCGGGCCCAGCAGCTCCACTACTACAAGGACGAAGAGGACACGAAGCCACAGGTACCAACCCGGCCATTTGTTCCTGCTCATGAGGCATGGAGGAGGCAGGCATGGAACCACTAGGATTGCACTTAAATTCTCAGGGGCCTTCTCAATGGGACTAGACACATGCATTGGAGAGGAAGTCACTTTTGCCTTTTCACCGTTGTCTAGATACATACACTGAGTTGAAAAGATAACAGAGTGGTTCTCCAGGAAGTCCCAGGATGAGCACCGAGGAGTTTCCTAAGTGCAGCTCTAAGGGAAGGTTCACAAAACTGAGGTGATGGTGGTAACACTCAGTCAAGGGTTCAGAGTGAATGAATTTGGGTTCAGAAAAATTGATTTGGGGGCTCATTGATTTATTCAATAAATATTCATTGAGCATTTATTATGTGCCAGACATTATTCTTGGTACTTGAAATAAATTAGTGAGTTTAAAAATCTCCACCATGTGGAGCTTAGAGTATGGGGGGAAAGACAGAAAATAAGCATAACGAATAAGGGAAGTATGCAGTCTGTTAGAAAAGGATTAGTTCTATGAAGAAAAAAATAGAATGAGTTTAGATGGATCAAGAGTTTGGGGGAAGTGTTGCAATTTTAAATAGAGTGGTCACAGTGACCTCATGAAGAGGCAACATTTGGGCCAAGACTAAGGAAGAGAGGGAATTAGGGAGGCAGTTCTCTGGGGAAAGAGTCTTTGAGGCAGAGGGAACAGGCAGAGCAAAGGCCCAAAAGGAAACGTGTCTGGCCTGGAAAGGGGGTAGCAAGGAGGTCAGTGTTGGGAGAGCAGAGTTAGGGAGTGGAAATCAGAGGGCACGAGGTCAGAGAAGTGAGGGCAGGGAGCAGACTGCCAAGGGCATTGTAGGCCACTGTAAGCCTAATGTAAAGACTTGAACATTTACACTGAGGACCACGGGGAGGCATTGCGGGGTTCTGAGCAGAGAGGTGGCATTCTTTGGCTTTTTAGATGGCTTTGGCTACTGTGCTCAAAAAGAGACTTGGGCAGAAAGAGGAAGAGTAACCTAGGTAAGAGATTATAGTGTTTAGAATCTCAATGGGACTTGTGGGCTGGTGGAAAGTGGTCAGCTTAGGGATATACTTTGAATGTAGAGCAAACAGAATTTCCCAGTGGAGTGGCTGAGGCTGTGAAAGTGAGTGGGCTTTGATCCTAAATCTTGGGCCCAGGTCTTTTCTCTCCACCTCATTGATTCTCCGTGGCCATTGTGATGTGTGAGTGAAAGAGGGCACTATGAATAATTATCCTGGGGCCTTAAGTGTAAACTGGATGTCTAGTACAGCTGGTCACCCACCTACTGCTCATGCCTGTGTAGATGACAGGGTGGGCTTGGCTAGAAGGAACTTATTAGGGAAGACAGACTCTGGAAACTTCTGGAGCCGGAATAAGAAGGGTGAGGATAAGAAATGTGTGGGTATCAGGAGCGGGTAGGCAGGTAAATGGTACCAAAATGAAATGGTCATTTTGGCAGAAGAAAGTTCTCTTTAAGAGCAGGCTTAAGGACCTGTTACATGTCAGCAGGAGTTGGTTAACCAGGTCCTCCACTTGAGGGCTCTGAGTGCTCTGAGAGTGTGTCAACTGCAGAGGCCAGGGAAGGACCACAGAGACACTCCCTACCAACACACAGACAGCCTAGGTTCTTTCCTAGTTTCCTATGCAGCAACCAGACTTCCTTCTCTTTATAAACCCGATCCTTATCCGAGTTGAGCAATTACAGGCTAAGATAGTGGGTGGGTGCATTAAGACAATACAGGTTCCCATATGCAGAGTAAGGGGAGATGGCAATAATGCTTTGGCCGTCCCAAATCCACAGAAAGGGCAGTTAGGTGGTGTTTGTTTCTATGCAGTATAGAGGGTGAGAGGTGTGTTCATAGGTTGTGTTCTTTTCCTGGCCCCGCCACTGTTTGACCATGTAAATATTTTTCTGGACCCTCTTTCTTCTTTTATAAAATAAGCTAATACTACCAGGCCTGCATTTGTCACAAGATCAAATTATATGAAGCATGTGTAAAAAACTATTTTGTAAAAACATAAATTAGTGCCAAAGGGTAAAATAAATATTTGGAGTTCCTTGCTTCTTCACCTTACTTCTGGAAGAAAGAAATTCAAGGTCTTTTTAGGATTAAATTAGCCTGAGACAAGTAGGTAAAGCTTCTTCTAGGACGAACAGGATAATTCAGTTTTTAGGAAATCTGTCAATATAGTACATCAGAAAAACAAGGAAGAAAAACACACAACCTCTCTACATATAGCTGAAAAAAGCATATGATAAAATTCAACACTCATTTCAGATCTAAAAAAAAAAAATGTTAGAAATAAAATGATAATTCCTTAGAATGAATAAGTATATTTTATTGCACTTTGATATGTACGTTTTGTTCACAAAAACTGTACATGGTAGGATTGTGTAAGATGCACAAAAGCACAAAATAGAAAATAAAAATTATTCACAATCCCGTCAGCAAGAAATACCTGCCTAAATCCTCACCTCTTTCACCCTTTTCTATCCATATACATTTGTGTGCATATATATCTTCTGTAAATGCAAAAGAAGTATAATTATATATTTGATGAAATAATTAGCAATATGTTACAAGTATTGCCCCTTAAGTCTGTGCTACAACAATGATTTCAGACAATCCTAGCATAATAGGGTAGACCCATTGTCCCATTGTCTAGTAGTTGTCTACAAGTGGTGTGCTGTTAGATGTTTAGCATACAGCTCTCTGGTGAGAGAGTTGATTTAGGTGCAGAATTTTCTAATTTCTGAGGTGTTAATACTCCCATCATGACTGATGCAAGCTGCCCATGTGATTTCACTGAACCCATCAGAATTGAGATGTGTACTAGCACAACATTATCAAAATTTCTACTACACAGATAGAATAGTTGTAAATAGCTACAACAGCAGAATAAAATAGTAAGATATAGTAAATAATTAAGAAGTTATATATATTTTGAGTATAATTATCTTTTTAATATAACATATTTTGTCATTAGTTTATAGAATTTAAATCTAAGTCTTGGCTGTGTTTTGCAACTGGCCTACAGATTTTCTGAAAATGTACCAGGTATTTCTTGTGAGCCAATATAAGTATTTTGAAAAATGATTTAGTTAGGAGTTGGGTTAAAATTCAGTTCTAGACAAACTTATAATTGAATTTAAAAGATATATCTATATAAATTCTAAAAATTCTAGATATTGTAGCATCCCACTGCTACTGCTGACTCCCCTGCTTGGTTGGGATAGGACTTGAGGCCTTCAGCAAAAACCTACTCCCCTCTTCCATCTTTACACAGAGTCCATCCTAGTCAACTTGGGAAGTAGGTGAAAGTGGTTCTGGACAACTTGGGATAATTCTTTCTTTCTGGGACAATTCTTCCTTCTTTATCATTGCTCCCACCTTCACCCCTGCTGACGTCTCTTCCTCTCGCCCACCTTCCTTTGTCCATTTATGAAGTTCAATGCTCTCATGGTCAGGGTGAGGAAAGGGACCTGCAATCTGTCATGTACATCATGGTGTGAATTATGTCTACCTCTGATTGTTACTTCCAGCAAGTGAAACTTGAAGGTAAAGACTTATTTGTAATCTGGAATCACACTACGTTTTGAATCATAACTTTCATGTTAACTAGCTTTGTGATCTTGTATCAACTGATTAACTTCTCTGAGCCTTATTTTCTCATCCCTCCAGTGGGGGAAAATAACAATGCTTCCCTCAGAGTTCATATGAGGCTTAGATGTACTGATGTATTCAGGACAATTATAGAGTCGGGTACCCAGCAACTGCTTGAGAAATGGCCCATATATATTTGTAGTATTTTATTTTTACTATTTTCTGATGAAATGATTTTGAGTGTCAAATGACAGTTTAGAGAAGTACTTTAGGGGAGGCAGGCACCTCTGAAATTGTATTTTCCTTCTCTTCCTACCAGACAGTACTCTTTCCTGTCTAAAAGTAACATGGCCTTTTATTCTGGTGCCGTGACTCATCCAAAGTAGCCCATCAGCATAATCTCAGGGTCATTTTTTCTGAAGGCATTGATGTGATTTATTAAAGGTGGTGAGGACCACAAGGATCATGTAGCAGAGGTTATCTTTAAAGTAGTAAAATTAAAGGAATGTAGAGGAATTACAGAATTCCATTTTATAGACAGGTTCTTTTTTCTTTTTCTTCTCCTTTTCTTTTTCTTCTCATTCTTTCTCCTCCTCCTTTTCTCCCTCCTCATCTTTCTTCTCATGTTTATTCTCCTCCTCCTCCTTTAATCCTTTCTCCTGCTCTTCCTTCTCTCTCTCTTCCTTCTCCCTCTTCTTCTTCTCCTTCTTTTCTCCCTCAGTCTTAGATATCTTCATTTCTAGATCCCCAAGAAACGGTCTCTCAGGGTCTTGAGGGATCTTACTTCTGAGATCTCTTTAAGACTCAGAAAGGTTGAATCTGAAGGTTCAATCCCCTTACAGTGCTCTCTGTTGCCAGTTCTCTTCATCCATAATTTGCTTTGGCATAAAAGCACACATGTTTACTCAACGCAGACTTATACCTTCAATTGTCAGTGCGATGTAAATCATGAATAACTGACTACAGCACAAATTAACTATGTCACTTTGTGTAGTCACTTAGACTTTTGAGGTGTCAGTGATAAATCTTGCCATGTTCTTGACATGGAGCTGTTGTAGGGCTCTATTGAGATACTGCCTGTAAGAGCACATTGTAAGTGGTAAAGCACTGTGCAGACACAAGTAGAAGTGGCTTGTTTTTCAACATATCTGTGTGTAAGAGGTCACATATACTACTGAATGCTTACTCCACTTCATGGATCCAGGATTAGGAGTGGAGTTAAGCTGTGTACTACCTCAAATGCGATGGTAAGGAACACCAGTTTTTTACTCACTTCTGAAATAAACTGCCATTCTGCCACTTACTAGATCTGGGACCTTCGGCAAACTACAGAGTTTTTGATCCCCAGTTTCCTCACTTATAAAATGTGCATAATGATACCTTGTTTGGAGAATTGTTGGAAGGATAGAATGAATAATACATTCATAATAATTGCAAAGACACACGTAGAAAGTGCAGCTTTAATAGTTCTTGAAGCTACTGAGTAATCCATCTCCCAAAATGGCTACCTGTGGTTCAGTCCTAACTGTACCCTTCTGGCAACCTGGTAGGTAGTCTGGCACCCCCAGTCTCAGCATTAACTCCACCCCTAATCAAGGTCTGGTTTGACCATGAAATTGGGTCCTTGGGGAAGTGGGAAGAGGCAAGTATTGGTGACAGCACACCCCCTGCTCATTCTCATGTCAGGACCTCGTCCTTCTCTCTCTGGGCAACTTGCTTGTTCCCAGAGAGCTGCCACTTAATTTTCTGGAGACCTGAGTAGCAGAAGTGCCTCATGAAAACTGAGAGGCTAGCTTCCCATGTACTTCTCCCCATCCCACTATTATCCTATTTGTTCTCCAACTTAATTTTAGTTCATAGGTGATTAAATTGCTGCTTTTTTCTTTTTAAAAAACGTTTAATTTTTTTATTTTAAAAATGTGGGGTACAATTCAGGGTTAGCTATACAAATGTTCATTATACAGGTGCCCTTGTTGATGAGTGAGAAAGCAGGATTTATTGAGAAGACAGAAAACTCCCACAATTGGAGGGAACCCTAGGGAGTTGCCCAAATTGCTGCTTTTCTTAAAGGCCTGACTTTTGATCTTTCAGGGATATATGTATCTACCAGGAAGTACAATCAAGGAGATTGCCACAAATCCAGAAGAACCTGGGAAGTTTGTCTTTGAAATCATTCCAGGTAAGCGAAAAGGTGGGACAGAGGTGTATTACACTTCAGTTTTACTTCTGGATCCTTGAAGTCAATTCAATGACTCCTACCACAACCAACTAACCAACAACCTAGTAAGAACATATAGTGATTCTGTATATAGTTAGTGAAGCCATCCCAGTTCATTAACTAGTGTCAAATGCTTGAATAATACTCATGAACTAAACATGCATGCATTCAGTTAAATTCTGTAAGCATTTCATGAGAGGGTGCTTGGAGCCCGGTACTACACTAGGCCATGGGTCACTGATGTGAAAAATGCACCCTTTTTACTCACTAGAACGTGCTCGCTCTAGAAGGTGAGTGGGACATTAAAATGATATTAATAGCCGGGCTCGGTGGCTCAGCCTGTAATCCCGCGCCTTTGGGAGGCTGAGGTGAGTGGATTGCCTGAACCCGTGGGTTCGAGACCTGCCTGGGCAGCGAGACCTCATCTCTACAATAAATCAAAAAATCAGCCGGTCGTGGTAGCGCATGCCTGTAATTCCGGCTACTCGGAAGGCTGAGGCGGAAGGATCGCTGGAGCCCAGCAGGCGAGGCTGCAGTGGCCGGGAGCGGCCACTGCACTCCAGTCTGGGCGACTGAGTGAGACTCCAACTCGAAAAAAAAAAAAGAAATTAACATATAAATTGAACCATGTGAAATTGTCATTTTGACAGGTCAAAAATGGTGAGAAGTCAGCAGTGTCATTAGGTTCAAAATGATCTAAGGAGAAACAGCTCTGACTTCCTGAGCACTTAGCATGTATCAGGTGCTTCAGATCACCTATTGCACATATGAGCAGTACACCAGAGGTGTCCCTTTCCAATCAAAAGTCACTTTCTTTCAAGTGCATTTGGAGCAAGAAGAGTTTGGTGCATGCTCCTGAATCTCCCACCCTGAGGTGCTTCTCCCTGTCTTCCTGTGTCTTGCTCTTAAAACAGCCCTGGCCCTGACAGGAACTCCAGGACTGTTAATCAGGCATACAGTTTCACTTCTGTTGCTTTCCTGGCCACAACAGGAAAGACACAAGTCCCCTGAGCACCCCTTCTGTTAATTCCCTCCTTCTTCCTCACAAGTTGGCTGTGTGCATACGAAAGTTGATGGAGAAGGCATTGTAGCAAAGAAATTAGAATTGCCCAGTAGAGCCAGCTTACCCTGACCCTGCCACTTACCTTTTGTGTAACAGGTTACTTAATTTCTCCCTGCCTCTATTTTTTATCTGTAAAATGAGGACAATGATGATGATAATGTGGATTAAGTAGTGACATTGACATGAAATAATTGGTACAGTGCCTGATACATATGATATTTTGGGGATAACTAGACAGAATTATAATACAGAAAGAGACCCTAATAGCTACGACTATTTATAGAAAAGAAAAAAATTTTAACGTTCCTATGTGATCCCCTCACAGACACTCCCGTGTTTTTTAATCTGAAGGTCCATCCTCCTCTCTCCCTCCTAAGAGAAAAGCCTACTTTTTCAGTTTATCCTCTCCAGGAAAATCTGGATTTCTTTTGACTAATCTATTCTGAGGATTCCTCTCTTAGTGCAATTCATGGGACACAACCATCCATGGTAACATGTATCCCAAAGCCTGTGCTTTCCATCTAAGATAATCTACTTAAGAGTTCCAGTCGAAAATCCACTGGACTTTGCACCAAAAATACCTACTCTTGAACATTGAACATTGCTGTACCAGGGTAGGAGGAAGATTTTTCACCTATTTTCACTCACACTCTCAGCAGTCTCCTAGGCTACTGAGGGAATTATTTAACAATCTCTCTCTCTCTCTCTCTCTCTCTCTCTCTCTCTCTCTCTCCCCCTGTTCCTCTCCCACCCACTCCCTTTCCTTCTCCCTCTCCTTCTTCCCTTCTGCTTGCCTCTTCCTCCCTTCCTCTCTCCATCCCTATGCCCTTCTGCCTCCCTCTCTTCCACTCCCTCTCTCTGTCTCTTTCCCTCTGTCTCTCCTTCCCTCTCTGTGTCTCTCTACTTTTCTCTCTCTTCCTCCCTTTCTGTCACCACCCCCTCCCATCCCATAGGGACAAATAATTCTAAAGCCAAAGGGAGGGAACAATTTTTTCTAAAGCAACACTATCTTCCAAGGCTCCACACAACCTAAAGTGAGACACCTTCATTTTTTAAAAAAATTATTCTATTTTATTTTATTTTAAAGATGTGGAGTACAATTCAGGATTAGGCTAAAAGTGAGATGCTTTTAATATTATACCATAGAGAATTTAAAGTTCCCCTCTTTGTCATTTTCTTGTGCAAGATGATTCTTAGGGGCCAATGCTGAGGAAGAAATGGATTTCCTAGATAGCATCCTCTCTCTGTGATCATCAGGTTTAGTTGCACAAAGCCCACATAGGAACCTTTAATTGTAGCTACTCTAGGCTTTTTTAAAAATTTGGGTTTGACAACAATTAAGGGTAAGCTTCCTTCTCTCTCCAGACCACTAGTAGAACAACTCTCTGTTTTCCTCCTACTCCAGGGAGTCACAGGGGTTGGTAAGTTGTTCCTTCTGTTGTATGTTGTTTCATTTAATGCTCACATCACTTTATGAGATATTGCCAATCATTTAAACAAAAAATTTATTGAGCACCTGCTATGAGCCAGGTACTGTTGTGGAACTGGGGATCTAGCAAAGAACAAAACAGCCTACACGCACCTTATACTCTAGTGGGAACGAGGCTAGCGACCAACCAAATAAATAACTTGTGTAGTTTTTTTGATGGGATAAGTGATATGGAAATAATTAAAGCAAAGGCAGAGAAAGTGCTGGCTGAGGTGGTCAATCTGTCATTTTAAACAAAGCTGGTAGAATATGAGTCATTGAGAAGGTGACCTTGGAGCACAGATCTGAAAGCACTGAAGGAGTAAGCAAAAAGTGAGCCAAGGGCACATCTGTAGGAAGAACATTTTAGTAAGGGTGAACAGCCAGGGCAAAGCTTCTGAGCCTATTTCACATGCTTGAGGAACATCAAGGAAGCCAGTGTAGTTAGAGAGGAGTGATCGTTTAGGACAAAGTAGGGCATTTTGGTCAGAGGCAGATACTGATTTCATAGACTCTTGTAGGCAATTGAGCACTTTAGTTTTTATGCTAGGAGAATGGGAAACCATTGTGAGGTATTCAGCAGAGGTGTCACATGATATGACTCATGTTTTAAAACTCTTTTGAGTTGAGAATAAAAACCAAGTAATGGTGGAAGGACAGAGCGGGGAGACCAGTGAGGAAGCTCTTGCAAGAATCCAAGTCAGAGATGACAACCACGGAGGAGCTGAGAAATAAGCAATTTGGGAATACCTTTTGAAGGTATAGAGGACTTCATTTGCTGATGGATTGCATGCAGGAAAGAGAAATCTAGGTTGACTCCAAGGTTTTGGCTTAAATAATGGAAAATATGGATTTGCTGATATTTGTGTATGTAGCAAGTTTTTTGGGTGGAGGGGTTAGGGCTTCAGCTTTGGACACAATAAATAATTATTTCAATTGTATTGATAAGAACACTAATATTTAAGATACTTTACTTCTGTGATAGAGATAAGGACAGGATATTAAGGCAATATAGAATAGGGACTCCCCACTCAATTTGGTGTAGAGGGAAGAGATGTCAAGAAATAGACCCTAGCCGGGCTCGGTGGCTCAGCCTGTGATCCTGCATTTTGGGTGGCTGAGTGAGTGGATTGCCTGAGCCCGCGGGTTCGAGACCTGCCTGGGCAGTGAGACTTCATCTCTACCATAAATCAAAAAATCAGCCGGGCGTGGTAGCGCACGCCTGTAATTCTGGCTACTCGGAAGGCTGAGGCGGAAGGATCACCGGAGCCCAGCAGGTCGAGGCTGTGGTGGCCGGGAGCAGCCACTGCACTCCAATCTGGGGGACAGAGTGAGACTCCAACTCAAAAAAAAAAAATAAAGAAATGGACCCTTATGTCTGAACGAAACGTATTTGTATACCTAACCCTTAACTGTACCCCACAATATCATAATAAAAAATATTGATAAATAAAAAAAAGAAATGGACCTTTGGGTAGACAATATTTAAGCTATGTCTTAAAGAATGGATAGGAGCTCCTTAGAAAGATGAAGAAAAGAAAGGTGGCCCACTTTCAACTAGGGAAACAGCCCAATGGATGACACATGAACAGACTGTGTTTATGTCAGAAAAAATATATGCCGAAGGGCAGAGTTGTTGTTCATGGGTTTTGTATTAACATCAGATAATTTCCCTTGGAGAAAGCCTGTCCCAGCACCATAATTATGCCCAAACATTTTTTGCAGGGGAACAAAAGACTTTCAAATTTCTTTCGGTTCAATTCTCTCAGACCTATCGTAACATCACCAAGCCTCACCTTCATTCCCCCTTTGGGACAACTTGATTCTGAATCACCCTGCCAACAGGTCATCAGCTGTCTTAACAAGAAGGGTCAGTGCTTGGAAGTCTTGATGGTTCAGGGATGTCCTGAGAGCTGAGTGTTTCCCAGTGGGGTTGGTTGCTCATGACAGAACAAAAGACCCTCCCAGAAATCACAGTAAACAGAAAAGGCGTGTCTTGAAAACACAGTAGACTAGAATGTAGGCCTGGATGGGGAAAGGATGCCACATAAATGTTGTTAAAGTTCAAATTTGGAAGCAATATGTGCTAGGGGAACCTCTCTTGGGAGTGAGGAGACAGGTGGTCTTGCCTTGCGTCTGACAGTAGCTCGATGGATACCAGTGGGCAGGTAACTTGCCGTCTCTGGGTTTGTTTTATTATTTATAAAATGGAAATAGGACTAACTCCCCATCCTATTTCAAAGGGACATTGTAATTCATAGGGGATCTTTTAATTCTGTCTTGAGCACCTTTTGCTTCCCATTTTACTTCTGGAAACACTCAGTTCTCAAGATATTCCTAATGACCAGCGTTTCCATACACTGACACCTCTGGTCAGAAAAGTTGATGACCTAATGAGAAGATGGATTCAGAATCAGGCTGTTCCAAAGGGTGAAAGAAGGTGAGGCTCAGTGATATTAAGATAGGTTCGAGAGACCAGAAACAAAGGGCATTTGAAAGTCTTTTGCTGCCCTGCTGGAGTTTACAGGTATGAGCACAACCAGTGGGAGATGACCTGCCATTGTGAGAAGAATGGGTTGATGTTTACAAAGGCTTTTTTGAAATTTATTAATATGCTATAATTGAAAGGGACTACTATTATTTTCTTGTCTGTCCTAAGACTTTTTTTTTAACCAACTAAAGAAAATCCCAACTTTGCAGATTTCCACTTGCAAGGAGGCCAATGGAAGATGTTAAAGTTCTAGTCTCAGATCTGCTACTAACTACATGGTTTAAGACCTGTATTTAATACTCTCCTCTCTCTTGATTCTCTCCCTCTGTGATTCTCTTTTTATCACCTTCCCCATTCCCTCATTGTTCTTTCCTATCCTTCACTTTTCTTCCACCTTCTTGTCTATTTGAGGTTCCCAACTCAGGAAATACTATATCTCTCTATAATCCTAGGTTAGAAGCAAGAATGGTAAAGAAAGTCCTAACAAATTTCACACATCCATTAGCTGAGTATCGAGAACCTACCATTTGCAAGGTCTTGTGCAGTCAGGGGAGTGGTACTCTGAAAAGGAAATAGCATTTTTTGGAGGAAAAGGCACATAAGTACTCATTGTCCCTCCCATCTAAGGTTGCCATTACCTTTCCTTCACCCATGACAGAGCTCAGAGCTAGCGTAGGAAAATATCCATGATTGGCATGATGATTTGGTCTTCAGACTTGTATGGGCTGATTCTGTCTCCTCTACTGCTGAAATTGCACCATGAACTTCCTCTTCCTTTTGGTGAGAAATGACTTCTGTCCTCTTAATAAAAGTAACTCCCAGCCTAAGCCATCCCAATTGCAAATCATTGTGTTCAACAATTTGACTATAGAATTAGAGCTTCAGCAAAAGCAATAAGAGTACATGGGTATCCAGTTTCACTGTGGGTAATTAGATAATGTTTTTGCATTGTTTGACTGGTAGCACTTTATTGAACCAAGGAATCAGCTCAGCTTTGTCTTCTCTTCCCCCTGCTTTGGTCCCTTTACCACTCTAACATCTTCATAAGTGCCACTTCTTTCTTCAGCCTCATGGGACCAGACTCGCATGGGACAGGACTCCTATGTCCTCATGGCCAGCTCCCAGGCGGAGATGGAGGAGTGGGTTAAATTCCTCAGAAGAGTTGCTGGCACACCCTCTGGAGGTAAGAATCCCTGTGAGTTGTCTTGGGCGGCTGTTTGGAACATCTCAGGGAGGAGAAAGAAGTAGCTCCAGATGTGATACCTTCTTGGGTGGTGTTTAAGGGTAACAACCAAAAACAACTCTGCACGTTCACTGCCAAGTCCTCTGTCAAATGTGGAGAAGTGGGCTCAGAGCTTCTATCTTGCCCCTCCCCTGGGTCATCTCAGAAAGCCTACTCCATATAAGTTGGAGGTAAGGTAAGTCTTTGGACTAATCAGTAAATGTGTGTGATGCTTGGAAGCAGTCCTTTCTTCTTTCTGGGCCAAAATACTCTCATCTGTAAAACAAATGACTTGGACCAACTGACCCTGGGTCCCTGGCAGCACTAACTCACACAGCATCATGAGTCTTCCAGTTAGGGGACTTGTGGGACCTGAGAGGGCTGGTAATAAGAGCTATGCTGAAAGCGTGTTAGGCTGATCAGCACAGGAAAATAAAGCTGCCTTCCAGAAGAGGGGCGGTGAGACTGGGGAAAGGTTCAGGATTTGTGTCCAGGGTCTTGCTGATATGCAGTGAGTTCGGCAGTGAACACTTTTTTGGGTTACATGATGCAAGTGTTTAAGTTTCTGGGAATCCTGGTGATGTTTCCACACTTGAAGAGGGTGCTCAATGCAGAAAACAGATGCAGAAAAAACCCTCTGAAATTAACAAATATGGGAATCTAGTATATTTCCCTCCTCTTATAAAATAGGAAAGAACTGACATGTGTCAGTTCTGAAATTAACACTTCCCTTCAACACATCTGCTTATGTCAACTCTAGAAAAACTGTATACATGTATAATTATGTATCGACAGTACAGCCTGCTAGTATGGAAATAATTTATAGCTACTTTCATAGTTCAAATAGTAAATATGTATTTGATTGTCCAATAGCCTCTCCAAAATAATTATAAGAATAATTTTGTAGAAATTTCAAAAATATCCCTTAAACCACCAGAGGCATTTTAATGTATTTATTTTAGACAGTATTCACATTTACATACTTTCTCCAGAATAACAAACATGGAACATATATACATTTTAATACTTTTTATTTTATAGCTTAAACATTTCCCCCCACGTTGTTTTAGAATCTTTTTTTTTTTTTTTTGGAGAAAACTACAAAATATTTATTTTAGTTATTAATGTTTAAAGTAATATTATTTTAATTGACAAATTATAATCATATGCATTGATGAGGTACAACATGCTGGGAAAGGGTCAGATTTTTTTCTATTTTTATAATAATAAGTTTAAGAATTTCATCAAAATATTTCCATGTGGGTTTCTTTTTCACTTATTCAGTGTTCTCTGTGAGTCCTTTTAATTTGCACCCTCAATATTTTCTTCATTTAGTTGGATTTTAATCTATTATTTTCATGACTATTTCTTCTCTTTTGTAGGTTGAATTCCATATGATATTTTGCTCTGTACAATTTTATGTGTGTCTACTGAAATTTATAATTTGATAGCCTTGTTTTCTACTCTTGCATGCATATTGATAATCCTTTTTTTTTCATTAATCAGCATTTTTTATTATGGTTTTGTGGGGTACAGTTAAGGGTTAAGTGTACAATGACGTTTCATTCAGGCACCCTGTAGATAAGAAGTGTTTTCCCATCCCCCGACAGATATTTGCTACTGTTAATCCCATCCCCCCCCATAGTTTCCCAGTACCATCAGTCATTTTCTTATAGTATTGCATTGGATGTTCAAGGTCCATTATATGAGTGAGAACATGTGATATTCGGATCTTTGTTTTCGTGAGAGGTCACTCAGTATTATAGACTCTAGTTCCTTCCAGGTTGCAGCGAAATTCATGATTTTGTTCTTTTTTATGGCTGCGTAGTATTCCATCGTGTATATGTACCACATTTTTTAAATCCAGTCCTCTTTCAATGGGCAGCATGGTTGTTTCCAGGTTCTTGCTATTGTGAACAACGCTGCGATAAACATACGTGTGCAGGTATCTTTTTTACAGAGTGATTTGTGTTCTTCAGGGTATATTCCCAGTAGGGGGATTGCAGGGTCATATGGAAGGTCAATTTTTAGAGCGTTTAGGAATTGCCACACTGCTTTCCACAGAGGTTGCACTAGTTTACACTCCCACCAACAGTGTAGCAGTGTCCCCTTTTCACCACACCCTCTCCAGCAGCTGTTATTTTTTGAGTTGTTGATAATTGCCATTCTGACTGGAGTTAGGTGGTATCTCAGTGTGGTTTTGATTTGCATCTCCCTGATGATTAGTGAGGTTGAGCATTTCTTCATGTGTTTGTTGGCTACTCAAATGTCTTCTTTTGTGAAGTGTCTGTTCATGTCTTTTGCCCATTTTATAATGGGGTTGTTTGTTTTCTTCTTTTCAGTACGTTTCAGTTCCTTGTAGATCCAGGATGTTAAGCCTTTGTCAGACCTAGAGTTGGCAAAGACTTTTTCCCAGTCTGTAGGCTGTCTCCCTGCTCTCTTGATGGTTTCTTTGGCTTTGCAGAAGCTTGTCAGTTTAATAAGGTCCCATTTGTCTATCTTCTCTCTTAAGTCCTGTGGGTTTCAGGTTTTGTACAGGAATTGGATACCAGTTCCGATTTCCATGAGAGTATTTCCTATTTCCATGAGAGTATTTCCTTCCTTTTCTAAGGTTCTTATGGCTTGAGGTTTTACATTTAGGTCTCTGATCCATTTGGAGTTATGTTTTAGAATCTTAACTAATACATTGCAGGTTTTATTTGGTTACAAGAAATGGAAATTGTTGTATCGGTGATGTTAAGCAAAGAAGGATTTACTGGGTAGGATTTACAGTAGCTTCTCAAAGAAGCCAAGGGCAGGAACTGCCAAGAGGCCTCACAGAGGTCTGGGGCCAAGAAACATCTGCCTTGAGTTTATCTTGTCAGTTTCTCTGGGGCCACGTGGCTTCTCGTTCTGCTTTTCTATGCATACCTGCCAGTTTTTATCTAGTCAGCAGCCCCCTCATGTATCTACTTGTCCCAAGAACTTCTGTGCCAGTCCCAGCTTTCCTATGCTTTTCCCTTGAGCACCAGCAGAGACTGGGCTCGACCTCTATAGCCTCATCCCAAACTCCTGAGAAGGAGACTCTACCTGGTTTAGCTGAATCAGTATTCTACCTGTGAACCCAGTCCCTGGGGCAGGGTGGCAGTTGTGTTGCCTGTGATCCATGCAGCAGGGGCTTCGGGAAAAGAAGTGGCCTAAAGGGAATAGCCAGACTCAAGAGTGCCTGCCACTGTCATCCGTTTCTACTTTCTCCATTCCAGTGGTTTAGGCTGTCTGCATAGACAAGGTTTGTAAATGTATGCACCTGCTCTGAGTCAAATGCTGTGTATGCACTTTCACAAGAATCTGTGCCTTCTGTTATGCTTGGCTAAGCCTTGCCATGGTGAACTGCTTTACCCTGTCATAATACACATGGGGATTTCTCCTTTACCCCACCCAAGGCCACCACCCTGAGAAGTAAGTCAAGCATAAGTCCTGTAGGCAGTGGAAAGTCCAGGGAAGGGGAAATCAGAGATCAACAAGTGCACTAAGTGTCATTCTTATTTTAAGAATGATATTGACTCTGAAGTGATATCTCAGATGTTTTAAAAGTTACTCATTGAACCAAAATCATAGTTCCCAGAATAAGAAGTATTTAAGACAGCAGAGAGACTCATGTAAGGCCATTGGGCAGACATAAATTTCTTCTTCCAATTTGTAAGTCAGGTAACTTTAGTCCTGAAGGAATAAATAACCTGTCCCTGTGGCCCAGCAGGAAAGAGACAGGGCCAGGCTCCTTTTCCATGGTTCATTAGCACTTGTAAAACACCCATAATATGGGCCCACTAGATTGGTTGGGCATAACCCACAAATATTGTGAAGTCACTGAGATATGTTGCTGCGGCCTCTTTTTAGCACTTTGTGAAGTCTATGGCTTTTCCCTCCCAGAACCTGCTTGCTTTTCACTACTTTTCCTTCTACTAGTCATGGTTAGGATACAATCCTTTCTTGTTCAAATTACAGCACTAGCCTCCAAACTCCTCCTCCTCCTCCTCCTCCTGAAATTAGCCATCTGAGGTTCTGTTCAGGCCATTGCCAAATGCATAAATAGTGCCTTAAGTTGTGCATAGTTCTACTCTGCAAACCCAGTTGTAAGGCCCTTGGAAATGTCCTGTGTTTTTAAGATGGTTATTATTTGTATACATTTGTGGGGTGCAAATGCAATTTTGGTACATGCATAGAGTGCATAGTGGTGAAGTCAGGGCTTTAGGGTTCCCATCGCTCATTATCAACCTCCTCCCACCTCCTTGCCCTTCTGAGTCTCCGTTGTCTATTGTTCCACATTCTACATCTATTGTGCATGTTACTTAGCCTCCACTTATAAGTGAGAACATGGAATCTTCTCTTTCTGTATCTGACTTATTTCTCTTAACATAATGGCCTCCAGTTCCATTCATGTTGCTGCAAAAGACATGCTTTTATTCTTTGTTTTATGTCTGAATCAGATTCCCTTATGTATGTATATCACATTTTCTTTATCCAGTCATTTGTTAATGGACACTTAGGTTGGTTCCATATTTCTGCTATTGTCAATAGTGCTGTGATAAACATGAGTGCAAATATTTTTTGATATAATAATTTATCTTCCTTTGGGAAGATACCCAGTAGAGTGGGAGTGCTGGAATAAATGGTAGTTCTAAGTTTAGTTCATTGAGAAAGCTCCATACTGTTTTCCATAGAGGTTGTGCTGAATTTGCATTCCCACCAGTAGTGTATAAAATTTCTGTGATCTCCACTCATAAGCGGACCTTGAAAGATTATTATAATACTATAAGAATGGGATTGGCAGTAGAGGGAAACTGTCAGGGGAGGGGGGATGGGGTTGGCAGTTGAGGGAAACTGCTAGGGGAGGGAGGGGCATACCTCATCAACAAGGGTACCTGCATAATGAACATTTGTATAGCTAACCCTGAATTGTACCCCACATCTTTATAAATAAA